GGCCACCACCCGCAGCCAAATATTTATTTCCATAGAACCATGAGTCTTTGTTACGTAGGGTATCAAGTTCTTTGGCCCTGGCTGTAAAACAATCAAACGTAGAGCCATGATATGGTTCATCTGCAAGTGGATTTACCCTCTTACAGACAGCCCGACACAGCCCAGGAAACCCAATTGGGTAGGATGACAGCCTTTCATTTAATTCTCTTTGACGCAACCACTTGTGTGACAAGTGGGTGTGCATGAAAGGGCTTCTGGTTTGACCTGAACAATGAACCCCCTTTTTTAAAAGTCTCATGCACAGGATAATTATCATGTTCTGGGGAAGACTCATTGAGGTCTTATTTAATTGAATTTAAAGAAAGCTGCATGTAATTTAACAATGCAGAGGACTGGAAAAAACAATCCTGTCCAACAATTTTTGATTTCTAAGATTTAGGCCTTCAATCTATTGAGAACCTATTCAAATAATTGCTTTTCTTTTATTATTTGATTTACCAAAACTTTCTCATACATCTCCGATGTTTGGGGTCAAGAATTTCAAGAAAAAGTTGAATGCTTGAAATCACAAAGTGACCTAATGAAACAGCACTGTACATCATTTGCAGCCAAATTGTCCATGACATCTGATGTGCGAGTTCGTGTACGGTACACACCAGTACGATGTGTTTTTAGTTCGTGAGGAACTAGTCAAGTCAATTTTTTTATATAGCCCTTAATCACAAACAGTCTTAAACGGCTTCACATGCCCACAGTCGGTAAATATTAACGACATCCCCTGACCTTAACCCCCAAGAGGGCAAAGAAAAAACGAATCACTGGAAAAATGAGGATCGTTGAGAAGGGGCCGCAGATGGGAGAATCCCCCTTCCAAAATGACCAGGCTGCAATGGATGCTGAGTGGGCAACAGTTGACACAATATTGTATGATACAATGTTAGTTAGAATGATATAAAAAGGAGGGAGAGGCCTTCGGAGAGGTGGGTCCCCCTCTGAACCCGGCCCAGTTCGTCATTGAAGAAATCTTCATAACAGCGCCTCCGAGTGGTCGACCCAGCTCTTGTCCGGCTCTGCTAGTGCTGATGTAAATGGTTTCAAAGAGTCTGACGTGAACTCTTCATCGGCTTTACCCAGGGGTTGAATAACATCATCCCACAGGGGTCCTTTATGCCATTTCTATCTCACTGGCCCATACGGCAGACATTGGGAGTTGCCTTTTTTTCTCCACTACATTATTTTATTTTTGAACAGTGAAAACAAGAAAACATTTAATTGGTTTTTATAAATCAATTGCATTAGACAGAGTCACATTATTCAGCTAAAAAAATGTCATGAAAGTCCCTTTGTTATGAAAAAGTTGGACGTGTTTTAAACGGAATGTTTAGTTGGCTTGAACAAATTAACATCTAACAGACTACCATGCAACTCATTGACCTTGTGGATTAGTTAAGAAAAAAAGTGCATCCTCATGCGTGTCTCCTAATTGGAATTGCAAACTAGGATAGAGTGTGGGTGTCTGCACGGTACAAGCGGGCATGCGTTGGTTGGATCAGTTGATTCGGTTCATTATTTGGCTGGCTGGAGAAATACAGAGGCAACAAAATAAAGAGGGCGCGATTTAGGGCAAACCAACTTCTGGGAAGTGCCTCGTGTGTGCGCTTCTTGTGTGCTTACACACAGCAGACAAAACTCGGTTACATATTTTTTTTTCCATGAAGAATGTTTGTCTTTCATTTATCCCTGAAATAAAAGCACCCTGTGATTTGCGTACAACTTCCAATAATGTTAACATGAAGTGATGCAGTCAAAGTGGACGAGAAGTTTCCAGACAAATATTGTGGCATTTTGAAACATGACAGGACACAATTTCACAATGGAGGTCCTTCCGTTGCTTTTCAAAACCAAAAGTAGAGAAAATACTGATGTTGTTGGTATCTACGTTGTGTTCTTTGTTTTTGAGCAAGAATTACAGTGGCTGCAAGTAAGATGAAAAATAATCTGAGACGTTTCACAGTAATTAGTCGCCTTTCATGCGCCTGAGGAGACTGTTGAACTGACTGAATGGGGAATGAGCAATGCAAGGGGGTTGGGACGTTGAATGAGTGGGTGGGTACCAGAGTGGGTGTGGGTCTCTTCTTTTGTAGCCTGCACTTCTCTCCCTCGCCACCAAAAGGGGGAATAGGCTGAGGCAGCTGTCACTTAACATGTGAATGTTCTGAGGGCGGCCCGGGGGCCTTTAGAAAACTCTTTTTTTTTTTTATTGCCCCCACCCCCCATCCCCCTCCCACCCACTCAAGGCGCAGTTGCATGGAGTTTTTAAGCTACGTTGAGATCCAGGGGATGGGCTTCATTGGGTGAAATGAGAGAGAGTGTGTTGGGGGGCGGAAACCAAAGGAAAGGTAAAAGGGGGGCACTCTGTCATCTAGCTGCATGGTACAGGAGCAACCTGAGCAGCATCAGAGCCGGTGAGAATGATATCATCTTGTTGTTCAACGGATCCGTCAGAGTCCGACCCCCCACGTCTAGGCTGATCTTGGCAGAGAACTGTGGGAGTTCAACTGAGTCGTTGGAATACATTGTGTCCATCTAGGCGCACTATCCCATCAGCGGCGTTAACAAGGAAGGAATTCCTCTATCACAGCTCCCACAACAAAGAAGAAAGGGAGAGGAGCAGAGCCGGTGGGAGGAGAAGTGAGCTGAGGGGAGGGGTGCACTGTGAGGGGAAAGGAGGAGGACATTGTTTCCCTGTGACTGTGGGCAACGGAAAAGCATGAGTTATCAGGACATGTGCGTGATTGTGTTTAGAAAGTGTGTTTGTAGGTGAGCATTCAACACATTTACGCAAATGTGTTGAAGTGATTTGAGTGTGTATTCAAGAGAGCATGGATGTGTTGGTGTGCACAGCCTTCAGTTTGGGATGTTGGAACTGGGAGGCCACTCAAAGGATGCTCAGACAAAGCTTTTTTTTTTTTTCCACAACCTCTTTGAATGCTGAATGGGGACTGACTGGATTCCTTTACTCATGCTGTTGGTCCCTGGTAGAGGGTAAGTGGAGTTCACACAATCTCAAACTGCCAAAACTCAGTATTCGTCTAAAATTTGTGTTTGGATGTTGCTGGCCACTGCTTGAATCCAAATTATAAAGGAAAACAAGCACTATGTTTTGGATGTATTTGAATAAATAGTATTCATTTTGGACAGACAGCAAAATTCCTGCAAAAAAATGTTTTTTTTTACTTTAGCCTTAATCAGTCCTGATTAACAATTAAACACTCTGATTTGGTCACTGTTCTGTGGATAACTTTGGACTTATTTTGTTATATGAGTCTCAGAGGGTAACACATTGCTGTATATCAGGGTCGGTTCCTCAAGAGCCCCAAATCCAGCCGGTTTTCAAGGTCTCCCTCCTCCAAAATACCTGATTCAAATGATAAGCTCTGAGAAGCCTGATAATGATCGGGATGAATTGAATCAGGTATGTTGAAAGCGGGAGACATCTAAAACAGCCTGGATTGGGGATCTCGAGGACCCCTGCTCCACATGCACGTTGAGGGACCATCACAGTGATTAATTACTTTTTTAATACCTCACTTAATAGCGAGTGTCAAAGCAACAGAACACTCTACTGCCATGATTGATGACTGTTACTCTTTTGCTAATTACAAATCCCCCCTCTATCTATGTATCTATCTATCTAGATAATGCAATGTTTAGCATATATTCTTATATTGTTCTTATACATCAGTCGTATTTTTTGCTGCCAGGTCAGACGGTGGCACAGACATAGTTGCAGATCAGATGCAGGGGCAAAATATTTTTAGGGTCTCTTGATGATAATGTACTTCAAGTCAGGACAATGAAAGGCAACATTATTCTATATAAGCATGTTATAGGCCTAAACAAACAAAACAAAAATCATATTCTTGGGCAGAGCTTGACCGTTGTATATATCACTATATCTTTATAAATTTGCTGATATAGCTCCATGAATGATTTTCTAAGATCACTTTGGAGCCAAAAAGCTAATTTAGCAAATGGCTACCTACATTCGGCAATAAAAAAAAAAAAATTAAAAAAAACAAAAAACAAAAAAAAACGGCACTCCCTTACTGTTGAATTGTTAACCTATGTGGAAATGGCCAGATACTCTGTGCCCTACTGGTGGGCAGTGATGTGAGCTAACTTGGTAATCATTGATCTAGATATTGGGGCTTTGTCCGGGACCACTCTCTGATCTGACTTAGTACTCCCCTGTGGATTTCTTGGCAACGTCAGCTCCCTGGTGAGACATACAGTACATGAGATGTAATTACTAATGCACATAAAGACGTCATATTTCGACTCTCATTTAGTTAAAAGCCATGTCCTCTAGAATGTAAGTGGTTTCAAATTCATGAGAAAAAAAAAAATGACATTCAGATTCAATGTTATAATTAAGGATTCCTTATTTTCCATGGCGACATATTCTTTGGATCCCAAAAGCTATTAAAAGCGTACATACTTACTCAAAGTATAAACTACAGACTGCCAAACGGTTAATCCCCCTTTCTATTTGACGAGCCTATCATCTATTTGTCTATTTGTTGATGCAACTACCATGTTGCAGACCCATCTTGGTCAGCAAATTAACCCTTTCAGGGACAGCAGTTACTACAGTGGACATTATTGGTGCATGAAAGGGTTAAAGTGACCTTGAGAGTTCTGAATTGGGTCAGCCTCGGAGAGGGGACCCTCCTGCACTAGGGACCATTCCTATGATCACCTGACTGGCTCACTTTCGCTCCTGCAGTCTCGATCAACATGAATGCATCACCTCACGCTTCACAACAATGAAGGGTATGGCACCGGGGAGGAAACCAATAGTAGTGTTTGTTCTGTTCCGCTTGTAATTGCAGAATAATTTGTGACAAAAGTATGTTGTTGCTGTTAAGAATAGTGAAACAATAATTTACATTTTTCACAGAAGTGGGTCCCTTGGACTTGGCTGAGTGAATAAAGTTGGATTATTGCCACTGGTTCGTCATTCCGACAGTGGGATCCTTGACAAGCCTGTCACATAGATTTGTAAGGCCAGAATATTTTAGCTGTGAGATAAAGCATGTGTGTTTGTGGTCTAAATGAAAACAAAGGCACAGCAAATATCAGAGCCAAGTGTCTCGCTGGGGTTCCTCTGGCCAAGAGACAAATGATGCAGAGAGCATGGTTTTCTTTCCGCTGTGGCATGTAGTTGCTGTGAAAAAGAAAAAGTGTACTTTTGCATGATGATTCATTTGTCTTATTTTAGGTAGCTAAAGGTGATTCTCCATGCATGGCCGAGGGCTCTTACCTCAATCATTACCTCATTAGCCTCCGGGCTGAAGGATTATGGGTAACCTCGTAAGCCGGCCCAGCTGCCTAGGCCAAAAGTCCAAGCAAGTGCGATCGGATGAAGACTTCCTGAAGGAGTGCTACCATCGGCGAAAAGAGAGGCAGCTTCCTCAACATGGGCAGGATAAGAACAAGGACAGCGTGACGGAGACAGCAAAGGAGGAACAAGAACTTCATCACATGAGGGAGAAAGGAGCTCAAACACCAATTTCTGACAAACCTCTCCACAGCTCCCCTGCCTCAACAATCAGGAGTACCAGTACTTTGGATCGTGCCTGGCAGAGCACCCCCTCACCTATAAAAACATCACGCAATGGGACACTGACGAGAAGAACTGTGCCCCCAGAGTATTCGAGATCTCCCTTGGCTTGTCCTGACAAGACTGCTGCAGAGAGAAGGACTAGTTTTCAGAGGAGAGACTCGAGAGAAGGGAGTCCGTGGTCCTGGAAGACTGTGGCATCACGGGAAGTGACAGAAGTGACAGAGGTGACAGAAACTATCGTGACTGAGATCGTGGAAGTAACGGAGTATCCAACAGGAGATAAGTCAGGGGACCCCATTATCACAAGAACTGTTCGAGTCCTGAATGGAGTTGCCCAGGAACTTGCTGAGGTTGATACAAAAAGAAAACCTTTTAACCCCATTAAATTACATAATTCCATCCATTTCATCCCTTTATTTTGTCATCTAAATTAACATTCTGTCCTTTTAAAGCAATACTTGGTTTAAGCGAATATCATTGGTCTGACGTTCAAAAAGCGCATCCAACTACAACTGCAATTAAGAAAAAAAAAATGTCGCAATCTTGTTCACTTCACAGCTCCAAGGTGATGGACACTCAAGCTCAGATCAAGATTCCTGTGTGGAAAAATGGAAGGTATGTTTTAACGTTTCGCAGTTCCAAACTGATCCAATTTTGCCTTTCATTCAATTCATTTCATCGATGCTGCCAATATTATGTTATGGTCTTCCTAAGTGTCCATTGGCTCTGCGAAACATATCTACCGATTCCGAGACGATACTTCAAAGTTTGGAAGCCTTGCTGACATGGGTGTGTGAAATAGAGGAGCTCACAGCGAATCAGAAGCCTCCATCTTCAGAGGTCAAAGTGGTGAAAGCACAGCTTCAAGAACAAAGGGTTTGTTTCTTTTCACCTCATTTCACACTCCATAATCATATTAAACCGCCTACAGTAGGGAAAACACACCAACATAGTTATGCCACACAAAGTTGTAGCAAGGTCAGGCCTCTTTTAGAAAATAAAATGCATTGTTGAGGGGAGCGTGTGCAGAGTTTGTGTCAACCAAACAGGCAAATTTCTCACCGTTCCACTGTAACCTCAGCGATTGTGAGTTCTTCCAATGAGGAAAACCCCACCTGGCATAAAACAATATCATCTTGACACACGAGAAGGGCACACTGACACCAAGATAGTTAAAAAAAAAAAAAAAAACAACTTATCGCTCCCGTCAGATGGAATCCTTGTACCTCAAAATCCTTTTTTAGGAAACCCACAAAATGGTTTGTTTCATCACTTCTTAGCGTTGCATTGTAAAAAAGAGCAAGCCATTCTCAAAACTTTCGATTGTTCAATCATTTCGACAAATAACTCCCACATGTGTGGACTGGCCAACAGTATGCATCCAGTGTGTGCAAAAATGTGAATTTACCAAATTGTAACGGGAGGTTTTAGCTCGACGCCAGTGATATGTACTTTGCATATTCTGTGAGATCAAACGTATCAGAAGTGTATGTATGCCTGATGCATAAGGTGGGCAAGCCTCAGAGGAGGGAGGGCCCTCTGGACCTCCCAGAACTGAATATGCATGATTAAATCCATGTGGACAGTGATGTTTCCCTCTGTACCTTCGTCATGTGCATGCCAATGAGCCAAATAGTGTTGACGTAGCAATTCTATTTTTAATAAATCATCAACTGAGCAGAATACTTTGCTTTAGCTCCTGCAGCGCCTCCTAACAGACCGACGGAAAAGTATACAAACTATGATGTCAGAGGGTCCTCGGATAGTGGAGGCCCATCCAGGAGAGAAGGGGGATCAGGCTCGGGTCAAGCTCTGTGCTCTCAAAAAGAAGTGGGAGTCCATACAATGGGAGGAGAATCAAAGGTCAACCACTTTTACAGGCAATGTCACACTTCGACACATTTACTTCAACACTTCTTATTTATTGTTGACCTATATATCTCTTTTTTTTTTTTTTTTGTAGGAGGGACAGTCTGGAGCGGATTTTACCTCGGGCTCAACTCTTCCAGGAGGGCGTAGACAATTTGCAGCACTGGCTTATATCTGTTGAGCAGGCCCTCACTGAACTACGAAATGCTGAAAGAGTGATGCTGCATCCTTCAGAAGCCATAGTGAGGGCTAAGGTTGGAAATGTTGACATCTTCCACATACTGTATTTTTTATTGGGAGAAGTAGAACTTGACGTGCAGTCTTTTTTTTTCAGGCATTCGCTGATGAGATTCAGGCTAAAACTGCTGAGCTTGCAAAAGTTCAAAAAACAGGTCAAGAGCTCATGGAAGTGATCTCAGGTAATAGTAATTAATATCCACCCTAAATCATTAGGATTTGATGATGATTGCCGAACAGAAGGTGACATTTTACAGTAAACTCATGTTTTTGTGTGTTTTACATTCCAAAAATAACAGCAAGAAATTAAAATCTGCATACTGTACAATTCATACCACGCTGTTTCCCCCTCACACGAACGTTCCCAAACAAATGCATTTTTGGTGACTATGATTTCAGAGGAGGAGGAACACCAAGTCCGGGAGAAATTAGATGGACTTCGTATCAGATGCTCCGTGTTAAATCTGAGTAGTCAGGACGTTCTCCAAAGGCTGGAACAGGCTCTGGAAGCCTCTAATCGCTGTACATCCAGCCAGGAGGACCTCCACGTGTGGCTGGGCCGAATTGAGAGAGAACTCTTGGGTGCAGCAGGGGAACAGACACATGCGGGAGATGCAGTGTTATGTGCGGCTGAAAGACAGCGGGTAACATCAAGCGTTAAATCGTGTTCACCGAAAATATCTGATTTAGCTTGCTGTGTTTAACTTTTGACTTTGATAGCAGGCTCGCGAAGCATACGCGTGTTATTGAATCGAATTATTTACATTTGCAAATTCAGTCCGTGAACCAAGATTAAATCAGAGCAATTGCTGTCGTTCACATTTGAACATTGAACTATAATGTTCCTCTCATTAGCAAGAAAGCGAAGCAAATGAATAATAGCTTATTAACATGAACTTGTTTACTTACTGTTAGGGGGAGTGACAATGGCGTTACAACTTTTGTGACTGAAAGTACCAAGTACCGGTACGCTAATAGCGACCAAAGTATATAAAATCTAGCCTTACACTTTCTGAGACAAGACGGACTGCATTCTCCATTCACTGTTAGCTAAGCAGCTGTAAATTAACATAATTGTTTGGGAGAATCAGATTGACATAAAAATCATTTGGCTTGGGGTTTTGTTATTTTTAAAAAGAGGCTATTCATATTACTGTATACAGGTGAATTGTAATGCTACTTTTATTTCGAGACCTATTCTCACAATCCTGTAGGCCTACATACAGTGTATTATTTATTTATTTATTTATTTTCTGTAGACTACAGTAGTGCTGCCTTAGTTGCGAAATGTGCACATCGTACACATATATTGTTCAGAAGTGTGATTTTTTTTTCCCCAATATGTCCCCCCACCCTCTGATATTTCAATAGCTGGAACAGGCTGTAATGAAAGAGGTGGCTTGGTTTAAGGACGCGGCGCTAAGACTTGAAAAGATGAAAACTGTTCACCTGGATCCAGACCTCATATCCGAACAACTCAATGAGCAGAAGGTTGTGAACGATGAACAATACATTACATTTGTACCGTCTGAGATTTGTTTGAAATGTGCAATGTAATTAGTTGAGGGCACAAACAAATCAGGTCTTTTGTCTCCTGGATAGATTTTGGCTGTGGAGATTCTTCAGCACAGGTTCAACATTGAGAAGATGGCCAAAATCGCTGAAATCTTGCAAACATATAGCGAAGAAAGTGAAGCAGCGAATCTGAAGGTAAGTTCTTTATTATATGTGATACTTTAAATGAACAATGCATTGTTGGTGTTGTTGGTTTCACTCTCCTTTCATCTCTCTACGCAGACCCCATTAGATGCCTTACAGGAACAATGCGCCACCACATCAGCTACTAATTCCCATGGAGTTCTGCAGCTTGAGCATGCTCAGTCAATTCTTGTTCAGTTCTCAGAGGGCCTTACTGAGGTTTCACCATGGCTAGAAGAAACACAAAACCTCGTGATGCAGCTCTCCCTCACCCCGTTTAGCTTTGATGCATTCCGTGAGCAACAAGACCTTTTACAGGTAAAAGGAGCGTTCTTCTCCACATGACATAATTTTGTCACATGTTTACTTCTCTTTAACAACGAAACCGTTTTTACCTTGCATTCTGAAGGCATTGTACGGATGTGTTACGTACAACTACTTTTTCCCGTGATCCAAAATTTCATGTGCCTGATTTCCGAAGATCCCAAATGGCAGGCATTATAAAATGCATTTTCACAAGCCAACTGCATGCGCTGGTGGTGGGTTAGAAGTATGTAATTGACTCATCATATCGATGCAACAAGCTGGATAATTAGGTTTGACATCAAAAATCAAGGCAAATTTGCTTTGTTCAACGGTTGTTGGATGTTTTCTTTCTTTATTTATTTTTGACAAAGGGGTTTGATACAAAAAGTGCTTGCAATATATCAATGTTATTAAAAGTGAAGTAAATTTTCATTTCTGGGATAGAATTTAGCAACAAACGTGAAGTACATTATTTCCCTTAGTGGGGCCCCTGAGCCTTTTGTTTGACACCTGTGCCTTTGGTCATTATTTCTGACACTGTGTCATGATAAGTTTAGTTCATGGCATTTCAAAAATGTTTATAGGAGTGGAAAGTGTTCTGTGTTGCCTACGCCTCCTTATCTTTGTTCTGCGCATTTAAAGAGGCAAAATCAGCCATTGCGGTTCGTCTCAGGTTCAAATGACAGCATGCAAGCGACATGAATCTACCTGCATATACTGTACTTCTCCCAGAACACACAAGATGAACTGTGCAGCAATTTTGTACATTTTGGCAGACACAATCCTAGGTGTGCCTGGTCACAAGATCAGCTTCTGTTCCCATCAGTAATCAAGTTGCCACCCCACAGACAAGCATTTAGCAAATCAGGCCCAAAGAGATTAAAGTCAGTGATGTATAACTATTTGATTCTTTTCCTCCAATGCTTAGTCCCTGAGAGAGTCAATAGCTGAACATCGGCCAATGATCTCACGATTATGCTCCTTGGCGAAACACCTGTCAGAGCTAAACCCAATTCAGGGAGAGGGATTTTGTCGCAAAGCGACTGAGGCTGAGGAGCGGCACCGAGCCATCAGAGACCGTGTCAGGGAGACTGCCGTTCTACTTGAAGAGTCCTTACCCAGATTCACTCAAGTAAGGTTCCACCAACTGCAAAGTAAGAACATGCAACTACAGTAATCTGATCCTTCAAACATGAGGTCGTATGAATGACTAATTGGGGTTCATCATGGCTGCGCGGGAAGTCAGCTATATATGTCAATTAATTGAGCAACAACACTAGGAATAACACAAATAACACAATTATATGTATACATTCATTTTGTAGTTAGCTTCTAAGTATTGAATATGAAATCTACTGTACATTGGAAAAAAAAATTGACAGCGCCGGGTACTGCAATCAGTGAGTGAGTCACTGCACATTGCTTCGAACGTGTGGCAGAACTCAATGCATTGGTTCTTTATTATGTGCAGGCTTTACACAAAATTGAATGAAAATATATAGTGATGCATTTTATTTGCACGCATAATCACAGTAAAAACTTAAATGTTACATTGACGGTATTTTTATTTTGGGGGGAGATAATCATGCAACCATTCTTGTTACTACAGCTGAATGAGCGGATGGTTCTTCTCAGAGAAAATCTCGATCGCCTGCGCAGTCGCATCCAAACTCCAACACCTCTTCAGTGCCTTACCCCGAGGATTCAAGAGCAGCTACATGACAACAATTACATCTTGTCTGAACTGTCCAAGTTGGAGCTTAGCCTCACAAATGTCAAGACACACGCACAAGACTTGCTGACCAACACACAGCCGGCAGGGGTTACGTCCATCGGCACAGGTGCTTACATTGCCTGAGTGTAACTTCTTAACAAATAATGATGTTGCCCTAATCCATTTTACACATATCTATTCAAATGAATATTCCCCGTTGATCACTTTTCACCAAGATCTTTGCTCCATTCTGACAATACTAGCAATCCAGGAGCAAGTCACCACTCTTTGCCAGCTGCTGGGTGAGATGCACAGTCAGGTTCAAGAAAGGGAAAGCTGGTTGCTCAAACTGCTGGATCTGTCCATGAAGTTTTGGAGCGATGTTGCTGATGTCACAGCAGCCCTCAATAATGCTCAGCAGGCAGTTTTGGATCTTAATGCAAGCCAGACAGACTCTGAAACAATCTGCCAGAGTTTAGAGACGATGCAGGTTAGCTTAGAAAACCTTAAGCCTCTCATTGTTATAAAACAGCAAGTTTGACATAATTATCCTCTTTCATTTTGACACCCACTAGACTCTCAGGGAGGATATCGACACTTTGCAAGGAGATCTAGACACACTTGGTGTCCTCGGAATGGATCTGATGTCAGCATGTGGGGACACAGACAAACCGGATGTCACAAAAAACCTGGACGAAGTAAGCAATTACATTGAAATGAATCATTTGTGATGTTATGAAATGTACTGAGAAGAGTAATGTGTTTGACCTTTTGAAGCTTTATTGCCTGTGGAACAATTTGAGTAAACTGTGGAATGAATGTCACGACAAGCTGGAGGATTCCTTGCAGATGGCCTTAAATTATCAAGACACTATGCAGGTGTGTGTACGAATATGGACCATTTGTGTTGAATGCAGCAGCAAGTCCGAAATATTTTATGTTCATTCATTGTGGAAATTAGTCAGATTAATGTTATATATCTTAGGGACTTTTTGAGTGGTTGAAATCTGCAGAACTGAGGTCAACAGAAGAGTTTGTGGTTGGAACTTACCTGGAATCAGTCAAAGAGCAGCTGCGGGAACTTAAGGTGAGGATTCACTAGGAGATGACCACTGTGGCTACCATATGCCAGCCAATCGGAGAACACACAAAGACAAACAACAATTCGCACTCACAATCACACCTAGGGACGATTTCGAGTGATCACATTCGTCCACACAGGAAGGCCGGGACCGGAATCAAACCCATGACCTTTGCACTGTGAGGCGGATTTGCTAACCAGTGCCGCCCTGTTCTGATTAGTGTTGGTTATTTTTACATTTGGAATCAGTAAAGCTGAGTTGGTTTTAAAATAAAATCCAACCAAACTGCATTTGATCGTCTTTATTTGGAGTTACCAATATTAATTATTATATGTTTATCTACATTGTTACTACATCGAAAAATTTTATCGGAATCATTTTTATTTTTTTGAATTGTATAATTCCAAAAAAGCGATATATCGCTTTGTCGACTCATGAGGCCTTATATTGGGAGAGAGAGAGAGAGAGAGAGAGAGAGAGAGAGAGATTTTTTTCTGTGCATCAATTATTTGCTATTCGTGGGCCGGCCCAGTCCCTAAACCCAGCTAATTGATTAATTCTGCATTTGCTTTCCTCAGGAATTTAAACGAGAACTTTACCAGAAAAAGATTGAAATAGAAAGCCAAAACCATCGCTTTGTGAGTCGATTGTCTCCAGGCTCAGAACGCCCATGCTCAGTCTCACCCCTGTGCGACTTTCGACTGCGTTGGGACAGTCTGGAATCAGAGACTGTCAGCAGACAGGTGAGTGTATGACAATAGACACTCTTTCTATCTATCTATCTATCTATCTATCTATCTATCTATCTATCTATACACACACACACACACACACACACACACACACACACAAAAGTAATACACTATTTGTGTCTGAATTAGAAACTTACATTTCTGTTTGCAGCATCAACTGGAGTGTGCTCTACTAGGTCTGGGGCAGTTCCAAAACACACTGGATGAGTTGCACACATGGCTTGCCCATACTGCTGAACAATTGCAGGCCAAAAAAACAATCGGCATCGAACTGCAGGCTTGTGAAATAGAGCTGGCCAAACACAAGGTTGGTTATGAGATAATAATGATCAGAAATACTGAAAATGCCTGGGAAACAAAGCCTGTGAGGAAAATATCTCTCAATCTCGAAACCATAAAAACCTTAACTGTCAACCTTAAGAAATGTATCCGCTAAAATCTCTCACAACTATTTATCAGGACTATGACACGTTAACACAGCGACAGACAAAACCCATGAATTTGCTTATGAAATGAACTCTGTAATGTTTTCTTACAGGTCTTGCATAATGATGTCATGTCTCACGTTCGCACAATGGAGTCCCTGAACCAGGCAGGCAAAGAGTTGCTGGAAGTTGGGTCCGGGGACTGTGCACATGGTCTTCACTCTCGATTGGACCAACTCAATGAAAGCTGGGAGTTTGTTCGGTGTGAAACTGAACGGTATCAGCTGGAGTTAGAGAACAGACTCAGTCAGGTAATGCGCTTCACTTCAAATCAGGGGTGCCATTTGGAGAGCGTCTCCCACTGAATATAACAGCAACGTATTATTACCATTTAGTTTCAAACAATGTTTGTCAAATTAAAGATATATGAAATAGTACAATCCATACATTAAATGTTACACCCACATGTTGGATCTTAATGTTAAAAATAAATACAAATGTGAAATCTATTTCTGAATGTTAAGTCAACATGCTTTGCATGAAAGTAAAGGTTTAGATCATATGCAAATTCAAACTTCTGATAATAGCAAATATCAAAAATAAGATCTTGAAGAGATGTTAAAAAATGTTCAAGAATGAATAAAAACTACCTCACTTGGACATAGGTGATCATAATAAGAAACATGTTTAGAAAAAAAAATATATATATATATATATATATATCTCTGGAGCACAAAGCAAACCCCTCCAAGTTCTGGAAATATGATGGAACATAGTGCCAATCATCAACAAAACACTGGCCAGTGTGGGACAAATAAAGGTTATCTTATCTTATCTTATCTTATCTTATCTTATCTTCTTTGGCACGTACTTTGAGTTTGTATGGCCCTCGCATCCAAAGCCATATTTTCCTGTTCTCGTGTCTTATTTTGCGGACTTAGGCTGGGGCATTTCTCATCAATGTGAATTCATTCGTTCTGACCTCTGACATGCCCACCCACTTTAACCCTTTCATGCACCCTGTAACATAACATGATAAGCTGTCCACTGTAGTAACCGCTGTCCCTGAAGGGGTTAAGTAGTGAAATACCAAAGAGTTGTGATTCGCTGAGAACTGAGACTGCGGTGAAATCCTGGATTGCTTTCTTTTTCTCAGACTCCTCATTCTCATTTAAATCTAGGACAAAGATTAATCACACCACTGTGTTTGGCGGCCACACTTAGACTTTGAAGGAGAGCATGCTTTATTTTTTTTTTTAATTCTGGGTTAAAGCAGCAATAAAACTCCTAAAATACTTTTTAAAAGATGTTTCTAAAATCGTGATTGTTATTTCAGGTACCATTGCTTTTAAAAAATGTCTTTGATATTGTAAACACACTTTGTCCTCCTCGAGCTTTTGATTTGGTACTTTGGTTATCAACAGTTTGGATTTGCACACTAGCTAGTTTCACTCAAAACATTTTGATTAATAGATAGATTTAAAATGTCGATTTAGATTTTGACATGAGTATTCAATATTTTGAGATACATTTAACGTTTACGTTTGAAATATACTATTTGGATGTAACTATTGAATGTATCTTTGATAAAGTGACTCTCAAAGAAAAACCCAGTTTTCAAAACATTCTTTGAAGCCAAATGTGGCAATATGTTGTTGACGTGCAGAATGAGCTGCTTTACACATGCGCCACATTGCTTTGGTGAATATAATTGTGGGTAACCATCCATTTATATTTCCATACATCCTATTTCTAGGTTTTTCTAATGAGATCTCCTTTGTTAGGTTGCCAATGATATGTTGGTGCACTTTTACTCAAGCGAAATTCCGTTGATGTCATCTTTTTGTCGTCAGGTGCAAGATATTACAATGGGGATTCAGGACCTCCTACAGTGGCTGGACAATACAGACATCAGATTGCCATCTTCCAAATCCATGTGGGGTATGCCAGAATCAACCACTGAGAGCCTTAATGCTCATTTGGTGAGGCACAAAAACACTTCCAACTCTTAGATGTAGCTCAAAGTTAACCTACCTACTTCCTTTCTTCTGCACACCTGCAACAGGAGTTGTGCAATGAGATGGAGTCAAAGCTTCACACTTACACCGATGTGAAAAATGCCATTCAAAGAATGCTGGAAAGCAGCAATGTTGTGCCGGGATTGAGTACAGAACACAGCCTGTCGATCTTAGAACAAAGGTGGTCTTCTGTGTACAATAAAGTTCAAGAGCGAAAGGTTTCTGAACTCCTCAGTTTGTTTTCTGTTCTATCTGCTTTATCCATGACAGCATTCTGCAATTGAGTGTGTGTTGCTCTTTTTTAAGGTAAAGCTTATGAAAGGCTTGAGTCTGGCCAAGGAATTCCACAGTGACATCCAGGACCTTCTCACCAAGATGTCCAAGTGTAAGGAGTCTATTGGACTCCTCCCAGCTCCCAGCTTTGTTCTGGACACAATTAACAACCAACTGCAGGATCATAGAGTAGGTTGTATTATATACAGTACATTACATATAGTTTTTTTTTTGTCTCCAAGATGACAGCATGTAATACCTGTTTATTCTCAAATGTATTTATCTGTAAAGACACTGGTGGATGAAGTGAATGGTTACGCCGAGAAGAAGACCACAGTGGAGAGTGCTGGCAGTAGACTTGCTGAGTTTAGCAGGAAAGAGGATTGCGATGTCATTCACAACCTCCTCATGACTGTCCAAGATCGCTACAAACAACTACTGCAGTGTATTTCAGAGAGAGGCATTATGCTGGAGGAGGTCAAAAAGAATGCCAAACAGGTCGAGGGTTTTCTACATTCACTGTCACCATCCATGAAAATGTTAACTTTCACAAGGAAACATAACATGACATTTTGAACGAACAGTCACCTTTACTCTATTTCAGTTTAATGAATCTTGGCGCCTCCTGGTGGACTGGATGTTTGAGGTTGAAGAAACCTTAGACAACCATAAAGAGATCGCACCGTCACATGAGGAGATTAAACAACAACTAACTGAGCAGAAGGTGCAGTTGTGCAGGTGTTCAACATTTTTTTGAATCATTTGTGCATATTCACTGATGCCAAGCCTTTTCTTCAGGAGTTCCAGAAAGTGCTGAGATCCAAGAGGCCTATGTATGAGGCGACACTAAAGAGTGGCCGCAAACTTTATAATAGAGCTCAAAGAAGCCATGACCAACAGCACCTGGAAAACCTTCTGGCTGAACTGAAAGACACATGGGACACAATCAATGGAAAGTCTATGGAGAGGTATCAGGATCTCTTGTGGTTGGCAGGAGAAGATTCGTTCCTGCTCAGTTTAAAAGTTGCTTCTGTTTTTCCTCTTGCAGACAACACAAACTGGAGGAAGCTTTGCTCTTCTCGGGAAGGTTCACAGATGCTCTTCAAGCACTGAACAACTGGCTATATAGAGCTGAGCCACACTTAGCCAAGGATGTTCCTGTCAGCGGAGACAAGGACGTGGTCAACAATCTGATAGACAAACATAAAGTAGGGCACCAAAACAGATTGATTTATTTGTTTATTTATTTATTTATTTATTACTAAACTATATCTACATCCTGGATTTTTAACTGAATCACATACCCAATAATCTTTTTTTTTTTCATTCTGTTCTTTCTGACTGTTTCAAACTGTGAGAAGTGATTTGGTGCTAATTTTACGGCAGCTTCAACTATCGGAACTTTTGGCTGATACACTGTCATTCAGATAATGACGCCCTCTCAGAATTGATTTTATTTGACTTGACTTGAAAAGTTTTGGACATCCTGTTTATTCGTGTCTTAAAAGTTCTCATCATTGTTCTTCTCCCCGAGGCATTTCAAAAGGAGCTTGGGAAGCGAGCAGGGTGCATCAAGACCTTGAGGCGCTCTGTTAAGGACCTGACCAGGAGCAGCACGGCTGATTCACACTGGCTGCAGGAGCAAATGGATGAACTGGAGGGCCGCTGGGAGGTGGTGTGCAAGCTGTCGGTCGGCAAACAGGACAGACTTGAGGCTGCACTTCAGCAGGTAGTTCAAGCATCGTATTAGTAACATTATGGGATGTGGACTACAATTTTGATACTTGAAACAATTATTTCACTAAATAAGTTGAACTGTTAGTGTCTATATTTTGTGTATTTTCTTTGCAGCACTACAAATTGTAACAAACTCAAAGTACCCATATATGCTCCTTTTTTACTTCATGGAAATTGAAAATGTAATTCAGTTTTGGATAATTTATAGATGATTGACAGTTTTCTGTTGACCTAATTAAAGTTGATAGCATTGCTCACTATTGTATCTTAATCTTTGTTCTCATGAGGCTGAGAAATTTGATGGCCTCGTCCATTCTTTCATGGAGCGTCTCACTGAGGTCGAGAGGCTTTTTAAATATGGAGTCATACCAGAGGAAGTGGAAAGTTTGCTCGCCCTCCACTCAGACAATGAGGTAAGCCCCTTTTACACTTGTATGCAGTAATACGGGAAGGTCCAATGTGGAGGGAGTTAAGGTCCACAGAACAAGTCTGATTAAGATTTACTAACAGGTTCAAGGGCAGTCAGTCTTGGAATGCAGCTGTTCATCAACCATGATCGTATTAGGTCATTAAATGATTGATTGCATGGATGAAATGCTGACGAAAGCTTTTATTTCCTTTTCCGCAGCAGACAATGTTTACCTTAAAAACTCAATCAACGGAGTTAGAGAATATCCAGTGTCTGGGTCAAAAGATCCTCTCCTCTTGTCACCCAGACTCAAAAATAACCCTCAAGTCCTGGATGGGTGTCACCAAGACCCGCTATGAAGAGGTGAGTGACTTTGTGACCGCATAATGAAAAACGACACATTCATTCTCCGGTCAGTGGTTCAGTAAATTAAATTTGCAGTACGGAATTCGTCGTCAGAGAATCCTTTTGTGGTTTTCTGAGATAGGTTCTGACATGGGCCCAGCAACAAGGCTTAAGGATCCAGACCATTTTAACTTTGATGGAAGAAGAGAGAGAGGAAGTACAGCGGCTGTTGGAATGGATCTCTTCAGCACAAGAAGCTCTGAGCATCAGAGATGAAGAGCCTGTGCCCGAAAACACAGAGCAGAACCAAGAACTTATTGAGCAGCATTGTGTATGTTTCCCCCCCACCGCAATGTAATTTTTTTCACTGATCAATGGTGCCCCCTCAGATCGGTGTAACGTTTACAACTCATCAGCACTTGACTACACATGATTTCTTCCTGCAGGTATTCATGGAGGAGCTAAACAAGAAGCTTCCCGAAGTTGAACATGCAACAAAGTCGTGCAAACATAAGAGTGTTTCTAAGCAGCAAGTTTCCCCCAGGAAACGACCAATCGCACGTAAAGACACCACTGCTATTGTGCTTCCCATAGAAGCAGTATCAAAAGAGTGTTTTTAGAATTTCCTTGACTGATGTGAGACTTCCACACTTTGTCAACCCAGAGAGGCGGAGCACTCTGAAGTTTGCTCCTCCAGCACCACTCCCCCTGGATCACCTTGACCCCCAGACCCCGCAGCTCAGTCAGCTGGTCAGTCAGTGGCAGAAACTTTGGCTCCTGGCACTAGCAAGACAAAAACATCTTGAACAACACCGGCAAAAACTCATCGAGGTTAGTGTGTTTTTACGTTGTCAGTATGAAACAAGTTCACCGTTGGAACACTCCAACATTGATGCACCCATTGTAATTATTTTTCTTGTCAATTATTTTGACGTCTCATTAGAACATAAGCCCTATGTTTTTGCTTTTTCTTAAATACAGATAGAAGAATTTGCCAACTTTGACTTTAACATTTGGCGAAAACGCTACATTCAGTGGATAAGCCATTTGAAGTCTCGCATTCTAGATGTCTTCCGAAACATTGACCGGGATCAGGATGGACGAATCAGCCAGAAAGAGTTCATCGACTATGTCCTGGCTTCGAGTAAGACCCCCTGGCTATTGCCTTATGTTGTTTTGGGTAAATGTGAAATGAATCCATGAACTGGTTTCAATGACAAATGACAAGTATATACGATGCCGTTTTAAGTGCAAGAAAGCATGACAAAAATTGTCTGTTTATTAACCCTTTCGTGCACCCTGTAACCTGATAACATGATAAGCTGTCCACTGTAGTAACCACTGTCCACGAAAGAGATAAAGTCATAACAATGTCCATTGAAGCAAAGGACATGTAAAAAATATTTTTCAAATTACCGGTAAATGCAACAATTTTTTTGACTCCATTGTCAACAACCCCATGCCTATAAAGGTTTTTCTGGACTGTAAGTATTGGATTGGATTGGATTGGCGTTCTCTTATTATTTCCCTGAATCAATTGACCAATGACTCATAAAGATCCTCGTCACCATAGTACACCAGATATTATACAGTTATGTTTTAACTTTATTGCAGAATTCCCCACCAACTCGCTGGAAATGAATGCAGTGGCAAACATCTTTGACGTGAACAGTGATGGTTTCATCGATTACTATGAGTTTGTGAGTGCGCTGCACCCCAGCAGAGATCCTTACAGGAAAATGCTCGATGCAGATCAAATCACTGAAGAGGTACAAACAATGCTTACTAGTGAGACAATTACTTGCCGTGACTCGCATGTCCCACAAATGGTTCAACACTTTTCCATCTTCCTTTTTGCAGGTGAGCCGTCAGGTGTCACAATGTAATTGTCCCAAGAGATTTCAAGTGGAGCAGATCAGTGCCAATAGATACAGAGTGAGTTATCGTTTTGCCTTCACATGTGCTTCTTTGATGATCTATTTTTACTTAACAAGCAATTTTTTTAACAGCCGATTGTCATTTGCTAATGTTTAATTATGTGCAGTTTGGAGATTCCCAACAGTTGCGGATGGTTCGTATGTTGCGGAGCACACTGATGGTCAGAGTGGGAGGAGGCTGGACTGCTCTAGATGAGTTCCTGGTGAAGAATGATCCCTGCAGAGGTAAGGTTACTGCAAACTAGCCTTGTCATAAAAGCATTTTTACTTCAAGGCCACTGTTAGATGACAGAATGTGTCAATAGACAACAAATGCATGTCTAATGCTAAACAAATATGGATGGATAAGCAAGTCATTGATTCAAATGGCAATATGAGAGTATATTCAGGGTTCCCGTGCATCCTGGAAAACCTGGAAAAGGAATATCAAAATTTCCAGTCATGGAAAACATGGAAATTGAGACAAAAAGGAAAATGTCCTGGGAAACCTTAATTTATCCTGGAATATTATTTTTCCTCCCTCTGCTTCTCTCTGCCTTGTGGATGAACGCAAACGGGTGAAACAGACATGTCTGTTTTCAGCTACCTTCAATGGGCAACACTGAGCTGTAGTGTTTTTCTGCTTTATCTGCTTCTTCACCTCCATGATCCGTCACCTTATCGTGGTGGAGGGGTGTGCGTGTCCCAATGATCCTGGGAGCTAAGTTGTCTGGGGCTTTCGGCCCCTGGCAGGGTCACCCATGGAAACAGGTCTTGAGGGACCAGATAAAGAAAGCACGGCTCAGAGAGACCCCTTATGATGTTTGAGAAATTTGGATCACATTTTCCCCTTGCCCAGACGTGGGTCACCGGGGCCCCCCTCTGGAGCCAGGCCTGGAGGCAGGGCTTGCTGGCGAGCACCTGGTGGCCGGGCCTACGCCCATGGGGCCCGGCCAGGCACAACCCGAAAAGGCAACGTGAGTCTCTCTTCCCATGGGCTCACCACCTGTGGGAGGGGCTGAAGAGTTAGGTGCTTTGTGAGCTGGGCGCCGGCAAAAGGCGGGGACCTCGGCGGTCCGATCCCCGGCTTCAGAAACTACCTCGGGGGACATGGAATGTCACCTCTCTGACAGTGAAGAAGCCTGAGTTGTTGTGCGAGGCAGAGAAGGTCTGAATAGATATAATCGGACTCGCCTCCACGCACAGCTTGAGCTCTGAAACCAGTCCTCTCGAGAGGGGTTGGACACTCTTCCACTCTGGAGTTCCCCAAGGTGAGAGGCGCCGAGCAGGTGTGGGCATACTTATGACCGCCTGGCTTGGTGCCTGTAGATTAGGGTAACTCCAATTTGCACTTGTGTGCACTTGACAACATCAGGCTGTTATTTGATGAACGGCTGTTATAAAATGAAAGAAACACTTTTACAGCATTGTAAACACTGCTCTTTTGTCAACAGTAAAAGGCCGGACCAACCTGAAGATCAAAGAGAAGTACTTGTCTCCCACAGGGAGCACCTCGAAAGGTTTGACCGTCAGCAGGTCCAACTCAAGCCTCAGTCTCTACAGCAGTGCCTCCGCCCCAACTAGCCCCATGACACGCAAGGCAAGCTATTACTTTCAAACAATTGGCACCTTTGGTTCGTAAAAGTCCACTCCCTTGCAGGTCACATCATAAAATGGCATTGACATTTACCAATGTAGATTATCTTACCAAAGACACCTAACTGCCAACTCTTTCTGCCTTTTAGGCTTTACTGCGCCGAAGCTTTTCAGGCGACCGTTGCGTTCGTCCTCGAAGTTCCATTGCTGCATTGGGATCTGAACTCCTGTTTGTCACAACAGAGGGGCACACCTCTCTATCACCATCAGGTCAGGCAGTCACCGCCGTTAAGTGTCAAGTAGTTACTGTGTGGAAGGCAGTTTATTGTTCACCTCATGATTGCATATAAAGTATAGATTTTTTTTAAGACACCAATCGCTTTGTTTTCATTCTTCACCCTCCAGAAGAGGCCGAGGGGCTGCTTCCCACATGATTGCCTCAGCCTCCAAATCTCCAAGTGTGCACTAAACCCAAACAGCCTTTGGCCGTGAATGACAGACGCGAGAAGTAGGAGTGTTGTGTGCAAAAGCGCTGTAAAAGCAAACACAAAAAGCGGACACTGAAGATAAAATACAGAAGGTCAAAATACAGAAAGATCTGCAGCTTTGTGGTGTCTGTGGAAACCGAAGACCCTGAAACCGTCCTTTCAAGTGTGAAGAATGGTCATTTTTCATACCCCAGCTCCTGTTCACGCATGAGAATATAATTGCATTCGGAGTAGTGTTGTAAAGGTTTTGCATGGAAACTTAATGCATGGTAGTCTTTTTTTTCTCGACGAGCATCATTTTCTGATTTTATTATTACCTGAATCAGAAAGTGTCAACTGCTTTGCAGCAATTGTTTGTTTAACTTCATAGTGGACTTTGGTGCTCGGCCATGAACATATGTATAGTATGAAAAAAAAGTGTGCTCACTTTGTGTCGGCCACTGAGTATCCAAAAACACCTAATACCAAAACCACAATGAGTGTGCGAGGCTGCCGTATGTTGGTCCTCAAATGTATAATGTGAATTGTTTTTTTTTTTTTTTTGTTTGTTTAGTTAGTTTTTTTTTTTTTTTTTTTTTTTTTTTTTTTTTGCTGCGAAGAAGATATTGTTGGCAGGGCCACACCTTGACTGTGCATCTTTTACGGTTTCTGATGCCATGTTTTTAAGCGATCGTGCTTTGCTTGAATGCTTTGCAATTTTAGGATGGTTTAATCACGGAAAATTGTGTTTCCAGCAATGACATTTTGACAAGCTGATTATTTTGTGAAGATTGTTTTTGTTGTTTGTATTTTTATGGAACATTGCTGTGAATGTATAGCTTTGATTTTACTTTTTTACTACAGTAAGGGTTTCTGCTTTTTCCTTTTCTTTTCTTCACCTACTAAGCACTTTCTGGGTCTGACTACTTTACAATTGGATTTATAAGCAAGAATAGTTGCGAGATACATTCTAGAATCTGAAACTAATGTTTTTGTACATATTCAAAAAGTAATCTGTCCTTTAAGCAATACAGACTTCAGAATTTACAGTACTTTTGATTCTGCTTGCCTAGCCAGCAAACCTGTACCAAAAGTGTGTCTTGTTGCTTGTGTTTCATTCTGTAATGTCTCTTATTGTCAGCCCATACGCAAACTACACAATTGCACCCACTGCTTCATTGCTAGATTCAGTATGTGGTACATGAGAGATACCACGGAACTTTATCCTTGTGTGATATGAAATAATATTTCCCTTGGGGGAAATGTCAATCCACTGCAATGTAAAAACTCAGCATCAATACACCATTTTTTTGTTCTTGTTTTTAAGATCTGACATGACAGACAGCAGTTGAAATACTGGAGGGCAGTAGCATTTGGTCTATGCAGTTGAATTGATTACCGGTAATTCAATATTTTTACAGCTTGGAATATGCCTTTATATGCTAATGTCCTTTTGGCCTCGATTTGTTTGTATTGGGATATGGGTTATACTGTGGGCAAAAAACAATAACAAACAAAAAAAAAATCAACTCAATTACTATGCACCCTGAATTTAATCTACTGTACACGTTTCTGTACCCAGCACTCATTACAATGTTAGTGACCCCTCGCTATTGGTCACTAATCATTTTCTGTTTACCAATAAATGCTTCATTTCTTACAAAATACAAATCTTGGTTGTGATGATTACCGCAGTGTGATTCCATGCTGATTTGGGTGAATTTTATGTGCAAATATGTTTCCCCTTTTTGCCATGTTTGCCATAACAAGGCGTAGTAGTAGTAGTAGTAGTAGTAGTAGCCCTTACAAAAAAGTAGTCCACTATATATGATTTATACCTTCGAAAGTATTCTTGAGTAAGTATAAGTGTACTTTTTCATACCAAATTGGAACAAATTAAGTATACTATACGTATCTGTCTGTATACTGCCTAGTGCAAGCCTAGTATGCTGACTGTAAGCATACTTCTGTGGAGTTTATAAAAATAGAGTATTTAAAAAGTATACTCTCTCCAATGTAATATAAAAAAAAAGTTGACTGAAAATATACTTGAATAAATTACTTTTTGCTAAAGTAGTAGTACTGTAGTAGGATTTGTAGTAGCTGATGATGGCCATCATAGAGTAGTGAGTGATATGTGAAAATGTAGGCCATGCTTGCATACATATATTGCTGTTATAAAACGATTAAGTCTCAGTGTCAGAAATTGTATCTGTGGATCCTCATCTCAGTTTGCTTTCCTGCTGGGAAAAAAACAAAAGAAAACTAGTCTTTCGACAAACAGGCAGAACAGAAAACACAGTCATACTGGTTTAAACACAGGCCAGCAGTTTTCAAAAATAAAGCAAGAGCATTGCTCTCTGAAAGTCCTGACCATGACCCTACATCACAACAACACGCTGCTGCAAGGCTTTTTATCAAAGCAAGTATTATGCTCACTACTCCGCGACCCCTTTGGCTCACATACCGTGCACTATCTGGGACGATGAACCGGAAAAGTTGACTTAAATCATCCTTAAAAACCCCTCAAGAGAAAGCTCACACTCTGTTATTTAAATAATTTACATACAACTACTTGAAAAAAAACCCACAGTTAGTAATCTTGTTTTATTGTGAAGTCGAAGTGAAATATATATGTTTGTGCAGTTTGAAGAAATGGCACCTTTCTCAAGGGCTTGAAAATCAGTAAGTCCAGCAATAAATCCCACTTTTTATGTTTTTTGTTGTAGGTTTGGTTCTAACGATGTATCTTTATTACAGTCTTTCTGTTACTGAATTTTGCTCCGTCCTTCCTCTCTTCTTTCTTACCTCTTGCTACCCTCCTTCCCTACCTCCACCCGGACATGTTTCCTTGGACTTTGGTTCCCAGGCTGGACCCCTGGCTAAACCCTCAGTAGTCACATGACAACATCCAAAGATCCAGATTAGTAAAACGCTGGAGTCAAAGTGAATAATGCAGACTGGAGCATCAAAAGGCCTCCACTGATTTGCTGGAAGATGTCTTTTTCGCTGCAGACTTTCCTCTACTGGCGTGAAATCTTTCACTAAAGCTGACTCATTATTTCCAATCTGCACGGGCAGGTAGGTCATATTTGATGCCATTTGCAATGATTATAAAATAATTGCAAAAACTAATTTTGAATGAAAAAAGATGTATTATTGTCATCATCATTACCAGACCGTTGATGGTAAATAATTGTAAACAATATTTTGATGTGTCTTAGGGCTGGACAGTTATGAAGGAAAGAATAATCACAATTAGTTTGACAGAAATCACGATTATTCAAATGATTATACATTGATTTCAAAACGTAGTATTATTCAACAACAAAAACTCAACTACTCAAAACTATCATCATGGCCTCATGTCCATTCATCCCTGCACGTTGAACACTCTTCTTGAACATTTTCATTCTCTTCTTTTTGTCAAATACAAAATGACCGTGTAAATATGTGAAATTCAGGTCTTGAATTTTCATTCTGCTACAACCACACCTTTGATGCCTTGCATCATTGCCTATTGGGCGGCATGGATCAGTGCAGTGGTCTCGCGGTCGTTTCCCAACCCCGAGGTTCGTGGTTCAATACCTGGTCAGAGTGGTCATTGCGCATTGCGCATGCGCAGCTCCGCCTCTCGTGGTCTGCCACAGAAAACCGAAAGTGTCATGGTAGCCGGCACGCGCACATGTACAACAAACGCGCGCCCCACACAGACGCGTTTACGTCTGCCGCAGCAGAGTGAAGTCATACAAGTGGGACGGTTTGTGGAAGTCGTGAGAGGAGAGTTCCATGTGACCGGAACACGGTAAGCGGCTAGGATTTTAGACGTGGTATAAGTGAATGTGAAACGACTGGATTATTGTTTCAACGTTTACTGAGGTTTCGAAGTCACTTACATCCTGTACATCGTCTTTTTGACATCTATGACTTCATCACATTATTGCCGTTCATTGTTCATTATGTGTGTAGAGCTCTTTAAACCAAAGGTTGACGTGACGTATTTACCTTGGTGAGTCTATTGTACGTTGCATCCACAAGCTGCTTTTTATAGGACCAGCGTGGTAGTGTGTGAAAGTTCATGGCATCCTTCACCACAGGAGAAGAGAAGGTCAACGACAGTCTTGAGCTGGCAAATACTTCATTTTTGTTAGAGTTGGTGTTCTGAATACCACAAGCATTTAATGTTCTAAACATGCATACGTAAACACAAGACTCTTTTAAAAATGGATCATTAGCCCATTTTCCACCAACAAGCCCAGGAACAGTTAGTTACTGGTCATGGTACATGTCCAAAGTTCCTGTGGCCCAGGTGGTTTGCATTTTTCACTGCAACTCAGTCCTGGGTAAATCATGCAATCATAACCGATTCAAGGGAGGTGATGTCTTACCTTTTTCCTCATTACTGACATTCTACGGCTCGCAAACATTGCAATTAACAGAAAATACTTTTAAGATAGATGCCTTTAATGTTCGTGTATTCTTTTACATTTTAATCGAAGTTTAAATTGGATAATTTTAAAATATACAATCAGTATTTGAAACATTTATTTTGTGCAATGAAACGCTGTTTTTTTTTCCCCCCCCCCCCCCCCCCAATTTTGCTGCTGTAGACTGCAAATTTCCCCAGTGTGGGACAAATAAAGGTTATCTTATTTGAATGTGTCACTGTGAAAGTGGTGTTGCTCATGCAAATCTTTTAATTTTTCTTTCTTAAGACAGTTGAAAACTGATTTTCCTTTGCAATGCCATGCAGGCTGCCAACAGTCTTTGAGGCAGCGATTTTTGTATTTATATAGATATATATTTCACGGGGTGGGGAGATTTTTCCATAATACACATAACAGCGGAACCTATATGTAGTCTGTCATGGAAGTTAATATGCACGGTTTTGTAGATTGTGACTAAATCACATTGTATATGTATTTGTTTTTATTTTGTGAAGTTATACTCTGCCGTCTGAAGCCTAGTTGGGATTGCAAATATTTTACCTGGATAAGTAAATCTCTTTAATAAATACATGACGTCATTGGAGTTTTTAATTACAACAGCATGATGTATTTGGTATGTGTAAATGTGTTTGCATGGCAAGTTTAGACAAACAACAAACAAATTGTAGATTACAGCTTTTTATGTGTGCAAGTTAATACAAAACAAACAGCCAGAAGGCTGGCTCAATTTCCCAGTCCTGCTCTCAGGCCAACTTGACATTGTCCACAACTTGGAGGAATGTCTGCCTGGCCACCTGCCATTTTCTGCCCTGGTGAACTCTTTGCTAGCGATTTCCATTCTCTGTGAATCTAAGGTCCCATCCCTTGTGCGCTTTCCTCTGACATAGAAATGTAAAATTAGTACGTTGATAACAGAATTGTCCTACAAGTTACTGTCTGACAAATGTCCTACTGACATTGGGCAACGCTGAATGAT